TTTTTTTTTTTTTTTTTTTTTTTTTTTTTTTTTTAAAGAGAATTAGTTCAAACTGAACTCTGGCTCAGAAGACAAAGTGGTAGGTGAAAGTGGCCTAGAGGCTGGGAGGTGAGTGTTGTCTCGGTGCTCATACATTGACCGTCTCCCTGCCACGCCAGCCTGTGGCTTGCTTTATTTAGTTGGAACAGCAAACAATCTTTGCTCCTACTTTTGCTGTCTCAGGAGAGGTCTCTTCTGCCTTTCTGTTTATTCTACAGTTCTTGGATTAAGGCAAAGTTGGAAGCATGGATTAGGCTTCAGGAGGTTTTTTAAATTATTTATTCTGTGATTTATTTTGTCATAATTAGACAAGCATTAAGACTGATTTTATAAATTGTACAAGCTTATTTTAATAGCACATGGCGTCAAGTAAACTATGGCTATTTTGTCTTTTCAGCCAAAGATGTGACTTACATATGTCCCTTCACTGGTGCCGTACGGGGAACGCTGACTGTCACAAATTACAGATTATATTTTAAGAGCATGGAACGGGTGAGGCTTCCTGGGGTTGGCTTTTGCCTGTACGTTTGCATGGTATTTGGGTTGAATTTGCTCACTTGTGATTTAATTTTTATTATTGAGACAAAATCTTAACTATGTAATCATAGCTATCCTATGTAGACCAGGTTGTCTTGAAAGATCTGCCTCCTCAGCCTACAAGTGCTGGGACTAAAGGTGTGCCCCATCATACCCAGTTCATTTCTGGGTGATTCTTGATTCCCAAATTTCTGGTTAAGATTTTTAACATTTTTGGAGATTGATTGAACTCCATGTACTGTTCTGTTTCTGTTATTCAAGTACTTTACAGTTTTTTAGAAGTTGTGTGTTTTCTTTTCATCTTGTAGGACCCCCCTTTTGTTCTAGATGCTTCTCTTGGAGTGATAAGTAGAGTAGAAAAAATTGGCGGTGCATCTAGCCGAGGTGAAAACTCTTATGGCCTGGAGACTGTGTGCAAGGTAAATGTTACAGTTACTGGTGTGGTTGTATTTGCTTTGTAAAACTATTAAACAGAACCTATACTTGGAAACTGATATGAGTAGACCTCATATTGGAAATTATCTCGTAGTAGCAAATGCTGGCGATTCATGCACATGGCATCTAATACCAGGACCTAATCATCATCAGTGCACACCTCATTCATTCATTCATTTATTTATTTTGGTTTTTGCTTTGCTCTGTTTTTCTGAGGCAGGGAAAAACAAACATATCTCTGTGTAACCTCAGCTGTCCTGGAACTTGCTCTTTAGACCAGGCTGGCCTCAAACTCAGAGATCTGCCTGCCTCTGCCTCCTGAATATTGGGATTAAAGGCGTGCGCCAATACTACCTGGCTTGTCCATATCCCAGTTTCAGACCACATCGCTTACGTCTTGTTCTCTCAGTGCCATGTAGACGAGTACTTTGTGTTTCTTCTCCTCTCAGTGAACCAGTGCATCCTATATGTAGAGCTTCACCTTTATAAATATTTCCAAGTAATCTTATTTGCTCATTAAAAGGAACACAGTGATTTAATTGGATACTGTATCTTTTCTAGGATATCAGGAATTTACGATTTGCTCATAAACCAGAGGGGCGAACAAGAAGATCCATATTTGAGAATCTAATGAAATATGCATTTCCAGTATCTAATGGCTTGGTAATTGTTTTTTTCTGATCTGTATTGTAATTATTAATGTGAACAAACTCAACTAGGTTGTCCATTTCCTCCCCTTTGTGTTCCTGCTTTGTCACTTAGCCTCTCCATTTCAGTAATGACATCCTATAATTACGTTGATTTGAGGGGATGGGGAAAACTGGAGATGGCAGGGCTTTGCACATGCTAAGCAAGTGTGGTACCACAGAGTGGTTTTGTTTATTTATGTGTCTTTATTTGAGACAGGTTGTGAAGGTTCACAGGCTGGGTACTCCTGCCTCAGGTCCAGGAGGCCTAGGTTATAGCCTGTGCCACCATCTCAGATATCTTGTTAGGGTTTCTGTTGCTGTCAAGAGACTCCGTGACTGCACAGCTCCTATAAAGGGAAACATTCCCTCGTGGTAGCTTACAGTTTTAGATGTTCAGTCCATTATCATTTTAGCAGGGAGCAAGAGAGCAGGGAGCAAGACATGCTGTTAGAGAAGGAGCTAAAAGTTCTTACATCTTTACTCACAGGCAACAGGAAGTGGTCTGTGGAGCTGGGTGTGGCTTGAGCATATATGAGTCCTCAAGGACCACCTCACACTTCCTCCAACAAGACCACACCTCCTAATAGTGCCACTTCCTTTGGAGCCCATTTTCTTTCAAACTACCACATCAGCTTATATAATATTTTTCTTTAAGATGTTTCTGTGATTGAAAGCTTTATGTAGTCTTCATTAGGGTTTGAAGGCTAATGAATTTGGGGCAGGTACTAGTCCAACAGTATTGTGACAGTACTAGGTTCCCTCATCTACATGAGAGAATTTCACCTCATGGCCACCAAATTCCTTCTCATAGGAGAGCCAGGATAGGTAAGACAAGAACTCTATTATTCCAGTATTGGGGTTAATAACTGGATTTTTCACTTCAGTTGCAATTTATTTCTTAAACACCATAGTTTTTTCTAGTTACATATTTAAAACACTTGCATGCTAAAGTGTGAAAAAGTTCCTTAGTGTATTAGAACATACAGAGTCAGTCAGCTGCTGCTGCCTGGTGTTGGACCAGTCATTTCTGTTGGACAGTGCATTGTTTGAGATGTCGTTTATTACTTAGAATTAAACCTACAAAAACGACCAAAATATTTAAAGGAAATAGATCAGCATTTGGTAAATTTCATGAGCGGGTCTTTTAGCATTTCTGTACTTTTTAAAGCTTATAAAAATATTTAGTGTTGCAAACAATAATTTTAATCATAAAACTCAAGCTATTTAAAAAGGGGCAATGTTAAATACTCTTGCAGATAAGTAAATAAAACAAATAATTATAACCCTTTGGGGACATATTTCTGATTACTTTCTTAAATGTCTCTTTAAAGCTGTTAACTGTTTGTTTATTTTGTAGCCTCTTTTTGCTTTTGAGTATAAAGAAGTATTTCCTGACAATGGGTGGAGACTGTATGACCCCCTTCTAGAGTATAGAAGGCAGGTACGTGCTTTTGTGTTCCAGCTTTTGTGTTCTATGTTATTTTCATTACAAGCAGTAGGTCGAAGTAAGGTGTTCTTTCACCGTCTCTTCCTTTTTGGTGTAAGTGAAGGCTGGCCCTGGTCTGCTTGACTTCTTTTCCTTTCCTTTGAGTTGCTTCCCAGAATACACTAGTGATCTATGAATCTTTACTTACCTAGGAGTTGATAAGTATCACTTTGTCTAAAAAAATGTTTGCTCAGTATAAAGATGAAAATGGGATCAGTATGTATAACATTTAATGTTCTTATATGCCTTAATATTATTCACTTAGTTTTTTTTTTCTTTTTAGGCGTCCTATAATTTAATTATGAAAAACAATAAATTGTACTGCTTCTAATTTAGCTCTGCAAGATTCTGGGTACTCTTTACAGACGATTGAGTAACACTTTCCCTTGGGCTAAGGGCAGTATTTACTTTGGTCAGTGCCCATATATTTTAACTTCAGTGTGTGTGTGTGTGTGTGTGTGTGTGTGTGTG